ATCACATGGAGGCGTGTTACTAGCAGCCTCTTCTGTAAAACTGATTTATTTATTTTTTCAATCTTGAGGTTTTGTTTTCTCGAGAAAACAAACCGATTCAGGAAACCTGCTATTGTTAAAGCTGTGACGACCTTCACTGTCCTATGATTACACGTTGACCTTTGTGCTCCTCTATCCCCCAGTGATCTCGCCTAACAACTCACACCAAAGAGCCTATTAGGCCGGGATCCCACTTTGTTGTTAAAAAGGGTCTTGTCCTTTCAGAACACTCACTTCCTCGCTCTCTGTTTTTTCAATCATAGGTGGCAGAGAAACACAAGTTCATTGTTCCCTCGCAGATGGAAGTTGGAGTTACCAGGGTAACTGCTCTAATCCTCCTTTTTTACCACTTTTTCATATGAACAGCCTATCGAGTGCTACCTTTTAAGTCACAGGCAGACCGCTAGCTCACTTTTAATTAGCTATGATTTAGTTTGCCAGGAGACAGCATGATGAGCTAATCGAAATTTACGAAATAATGACGCACTGCAAGCAGCTTCTTCTTTCTCCTCAGGCCTGCTCCAAGAATAACAATAATGAGGCCATTATCGAGGATTGCACTTTAAAATGCTGCCCTGCCACCAAAACAGAGGACGTAATTGTTCTGGTGTTTTCCATACAATCAACAACCCATTGTTAATGACTTGAGAACTAAGGGAGCAAAGAATGGGTACCATAATGATTGGTTTGTGCTGCCATCAAGATCCTGTACAAAGTGTCCACTGAGGAAGGACCTCGATAGACTACTGATTTGCTTGTAAGGGCTCTGGATGAAGACAACTGTCTGGTTTTGTAAAAAAGAAAAAATGTCCTTTCTGCTTTTTGTCTGTCTTGCCGCCCAAAAAGCCCCCAAGCCGCATTAGAGAAGAACCATTCATTTGGTGAAAGGCTGGGAGTCACACAGACTCATGTGAAGGGGCCACATAGTTTCTGGAAAGAATGGCCATTTATGTAACCTCCCGCCATTTCAGACAAAATATATAACTTAGAAGTGTCCGCAAAAGACAAATGTATTAACATTAGACTGCTTCTATGCATATATTTGCTTCTATACATATATTTAAAAAGTCAATGTAGTTCAGTAGTCATGTATGTCAACTGAGCTTTATCTAACATGTCAAGATGACTCAATTAGGTAATTGCATATCTCTGCTCCAAAGCTAACTGCATTACAAATTAGCCATTTGAAAATTAAAATATCCCAGAGAGCAAGATTATGATAAATAGAGTCTGAAAATGAAATATTTTGCCAAAAATGTCTGCATGTAAACTTACAGGATAAGAGCTCAGCGGGTTTGTACAAACACCGTGCTGCACCTATTAGCTGTGCTCCATTGTAAAGGAGTGAGAGAGACAGAGCTCGAGGGCAGGAGGAATGCTAAGTGGGCCCCTTAGCCTAGTCAACCTTCAGTGGGTTTCATTTATCTTCATCTTGTTAGACTAAATTAATTAACAATCTCAATGTTACACACTTTCTCCTTTCATTACATCAAATAATGGCAGAAATGTAGGGGGAGGTCCTGCCCACTGGGAGTAGAGAGACTGAAGACATCTCCCTCTCTCCCCTCTCTCTCTCTCTGCTTATCTCTCTCTCTCTCTCTCTCTCTGCCTGTTCACATCTTTGTATTATGTCTCCCTTCCATCCACTTTCTCTCTCTTATTTTCTCAGTCTCTTTGAATACACAAACAAAAACCTGTTAAATGTCTTCCATAAACAAATAAAAAATTGATCTTATATGAAAGCACATCATCTTTTCAACAAAGGGAAAAACTGAAGGGCTTACAATAACACAAGCAGAATAGTTGTCTATTAAAAACACTGCACATAATGTACTTCAGAGAACTTTTGCATAGTTTCAGAAATGCTGGGATTTTTAAACAGACTGTCCTGGTAATGAAACAGTACAAAGGCTTTGACTTGTACGTAAAATATGGAGTTTAAACTTTTCTTTGCCACCCTTCAAGGGTTTAATGTATTTTTCAAGATGGCCAGGTAATGTCAGTTTTACAGTTATTAAAAGTCAGTGTATGTATGACTCAAAACCAAACTCATGACTCATTACAATAATGAAAGGCTCATCCGGTGTGCTACTGAGATATGGCATACAGTATAAAAAGTCAACAACATCTGCACATTGTAGCAGAAATGTATGAGCATGTTCAGAAAGCCCCCTTTGACCTAATTCAGTTGCTTGGGAAAAGATACTGGGATTCTTCACAGGAGGAATGTCTTAACTGCCACATCCATCCACCCCTGTTTCTATCCTTTTCTCCCCTTTCACCCCTACCCCCACTCCACAGCCCACTCCAGAACACAAGTCTTATCCAAGCAAAAGGGCTAACCCTGAAGCAAAGCCTGCCTTTAATCTTGGCCTGATTGTTAAGGCCTCCAATCTCCAGCCGGTGTGCGTGATATCTTTATACTGGCGCTTCTTCTTTAATTAAAACAGACATTGACAGAAGGATGTGGATTAGCAGAGCAATAATGTGTTTACTTAGAATAATCAGTGTTTCCTCACAACTATGAGAACAAAAGGAAATTGTTGCCAAGGTCAAAGGTCATGTTTCTTTTCTTTCTCTGTTTTTTGTCGCTCATTGGATTGGATGCATAATCATTCCTTGTGGATTTGAGACATGCTTCTGTCAGACCTTATCCAATGCATTATATAGTTTACAGCAGTGGTTCTCAACTGGTGGGTCGCGACCCAAAAGTGGGTCGCGGACCCGTTAGGAGTGGGTCGCGGATGTGTGAGTGAAGGAAAAAAAAATTGAATTGAATTTTTTTTTTTTGGGGGAAAAAGTCAAACTTTTATTTTGGAGGCCCGATTTTCTTACGCTGTGCATGCAGTCGGCGTTGGACTGGAAGTACCGGAGACCATAAACGGTTTTGAAAACTTCTGTCACGTAGTGATCATCTTCTCAATAAAATATCTTTGCTGATGTTTTTTCGAGTCTTCTGGCCAATCAGAATCAAGATTGTTGCCGGAAGTCCCCACGGAGAATAACTTTGCGGTAGAACTCTTCTTTATACATCCATGGGTACAACTTCAGATAAAAATGAACACATAATGAAATATGACCCCCGGTTTGATGATTGACAGGTCACAGAACAATTGGAGCTATCTACCCTTCCCCACAATTTAAAGTAAGTCACACAGACTATCTCCTCTTTACTCTTCTCGCAGCAAGATGTCAGAACAAAGTGGAAAACAAACAATGGCATAAAAATATTATTAACATGTCGGGTAGTAATACATCTATTTATTTTCTTCTCAGAGTGTACCAGAATGCATAGTTTATGTTAGTATTTCTAAAAATCTCCTGGGGGAGAATTGCTAGGGTTCGGTTTTCAGCATGTGTGCCTTTAGTTCAGCTTTGATTCCATCATCTCATTAAACCTTTTTTAAAAGCATACTTTAGTTCTGTGAAGGGATATAAGGGATATATGCACTGTACTTCACTTCTATCAATATTGTATGCTGAAAAGCGTATATATTACAGCACGTTTTTTTGTTGAATAGATTTGAGTGCTTCAAAATGTTGGGTCGCGATGTATTGACCAAGTAAAAAGTGGGTCCCGAGGCCTGACCAGTTGAGAACCACTGGTTTACAGCACATTTTAAGCTGGTTGCGACAGGTGATTAGAATTAAATGCTGCCATCCACTTTTTACAAATACAAAAAAAAGAATGAGCATAGGCAGCGCTCTCTCAAAATGTATCATGCAGTAAGCCTGAATAACTTCTGTCAAATCATAGCAGATTAACCAATCCAAATAAATTGGTGCCAACACATGAAAGATAAAAAGATAATGTAAAATTATACATTGCCTATGTTATTAATTTACTTAACCAAACAGGAAGTTATGAATGTAAAGTACATTCGTATTTTTTATGTGATAATTTCAATGTGTTCAAAAGTTCATTTATATTTTCAACGGGATTTCTGTCACAAATTAGGGCTCAACCTGTGTTTTCTGAACTTTATAAATATGCGTCTCAATCTCACTTTAAGTCAAATTTAAATGATTTAATTCTAAACAAAAATAACATACATTTAAATGCAGAACAGAATTTCCTATTGAATTCCTGAAGGACATTTCGACTAGCGAGAGTAATGGTATAAAATCGTCCTTTCTTTTTAAAATGCCCCCAGCAGTTCTAAGAGAGAAAAATGCTGTTAATTTAATCAAATAAGTGACCTTTTGAAAAAGAAATCAAAGCGGATTCATTAGCTTTAGCAAAGTTTGGCTGACAGCAGCTTTGAAAGGCAGATGCTGCTGCTGTGGCTTCTAATGAGCCAACCCTAATTAGGGAGCAACACTGGAGCCTAGAGAAGGTGGTTGACTAGGAAAGGAGCCAATGGTAAATACACACTCTTATTTACTTCCTCTGTGTGTAATGACAGCACACATTTTTAATTAGAATCACAGGAAGGGTAAAGACAAAAATGTAAATCTTTATGGTAGGATGAATGCAAACACAGAACACAACAGGAAACAACAGTGCATCACAAGACAGATGTGCCAGCACACTGCCTCACCCCAACATCGCTGATTAGGGCGGTTAGTAAGGGAGGGCAGATGGGGAAGGGGTCAGACAAAAGCATGCAGTGTAAAGACCCAGAATGCCTGATCTGCAGGTCTTTTAAGCCATTAAAGGGAGAGGAAGGGAAAAAAGGCTCATCTGTCCCTTAAGTTGTTGATGTGTGCTTTCAGTCTAACTGGAGGCTATCAGGAGAAGCATGCCAGTCAGCCACCCACTACATGGACACAATCATCAGACACAGCTTGGGTAAATATGTTAGAATCCATGTTAGACATTGTTCAAATATACAGACACGTGTGCACACAAACATGTGCACTAACACACAGTACAAAGTCTAAAGCTAACAATGTGTCAGCGTGCTACCACCCGTGCCCGACCTGTGATCCTAAATGGCAACATCAGAAATGAAACTAACCTCAGTAAAAAGCTGCTACGAAGAAAGCCCTCCATGTCAGCGTGTGGGGTTCTGGCAGGAAAAATCACAGAGAACCATTTACACTATTGAACAAGTTATAATCAAGAAGGAGGAAAGAAGGGAGAAAGGGGGATAAGCAAGAAAGAGAGAAAGAAAGAAAAACACACAGAGCATACATCTCTCCTATAATAAGGCATGTCTTTAATTAAAGCAGAAAATATGGCTACGAACCCATCTTCTCTTTTTATGAACTGACATCATTAATTATACCTCTTTCCATCGAGGGAGTGGATTTGCATACAACATCGGTTTGCACTGAGGGCCTGATGATATGTTTGCATCAAATAAACTCTGCCTACTGATCTCCATACAGTATTTTTCCACGGCTGTGTGCAGATACACTGTAACCACAGATCTCACAGCAGCTTATTCAGACTAGCTATCGGTGGTCCAGCTGCAGCCCATGTGTGGCGAGGGTGCTGTGGCTTCTGGGAGCCCGGCCGCAAGGGACCCAAGCTGGGACTCTCAGCGTCAATGAGGCAAAAGGATGTGGTCATGATGTCACCACTTGTAGGGGTCGTTCAGAAGCCCTACCCACAAAATGCTGAAGACACATGGCTAATAATGACTTACAACAGGTTTCCATTAGCCTGTGTTATATGGCTATATAATGTACACTTTAATTGTGTTAAGATCAGTTGGAAATTTATTTTGGACGTCCATGTGCTTTATGTGATAAAAAAAAAATGAACAGCCATTAGAGCGTTTGTGAATGGAACTTTTGTCGTTGGTTAAAATGTCTCAGATCTCACAACTATAAAGATACTCAGCCACTGAAATATGGCAAGGATATCTTGCTGAAATGTTTCCAGCATTATAATGTATCATCATCCACAATCCTTCCTGGATACAGTACATACAATTTCAATTTAACAATACAAGAAAAAGAAAATATGTCTGTCTGTCAAAAATCCCTGCTTTTTAACCCATCGGAGAGAACAATACTCTTATTACAAACTAATAAAACTCACTCATAAATATTATTCCAAAAAACGTAACAACATAGTGCATCTCAGACCATGACACCTTAAGTGTTTGTGACGCTGGTGTCATTTGGCATTTTTCTCCTTTTGCTCTCATGGCTTATGAGACAAAGCCTCTGAGAGAATGGAAAGAATGAGCTGGGCCCAAGGACACTGTGTCTTTCAGTCTGGCCAGCACTTAGCAAGGCAGTGGATCCACAAGGCCCAGAGGGCTCAGCCGAGACTTTTCTCACAATAAGGTGTCTGGGGAGGCGGGAGTAGCATGGTTAGGGGCGCTGCAGCTCTTTTCTCAACTCAGCTGGTCCCGGAGCACATAATACCATCACCAAGCCACAGCACACCAAGCCAGTGACAACGTGAGAAAACAACCGTCAAACAGTGCAGAGCAGATCAAGCGTGTCTCCTCACTTCACTGAGTGCAAAAAGCACACATACTCTAAGGCAGGCACACAAGCTACAATAATATTCCAATCCCACAAATGTGAATACGCTTAGATTTTACAGTTAATCCATTCAAATTCTAGCACACATTTACATAGTGCAAACCAGAAATTAGGAAGAACAATGAATCAGTACTGAGTTTTAATGCATAAACTCATATGTGACAGGATTAACAAAGCTCTCTTTTTAATTTATAATAATCTGTTTTTTTTACTTGCACCTGAATCCCAGGGCAACAGTACTACTGAAACAGTAGCAGCAGTGAAAAGGAAATAGATTGGACTTTGCTCAGTTTCTATCTTTATCTTTGGTCATATTCCACAACCCTTGTTCTTTGCTCTGCTTGTGTTTCCTCAGCTGTGCCGGCTGCCTACAGTCCCATTGTGGTCAAAAACAACTGAACTTCGCCTATGGAAGCAAAGGTGCGGTTTGGAGAGCAAATTACTCAACTCAGGAAAAAGTGACTGAGCCACATTGTATTTGCTCTTCTCCGAAGGCGAAAAACGAGAATGTCTTTAAATTAAGACTAGGCCACAATTCAAGGGCAGGCTTTTTGGTGAAGGAGAAGCGGGGAGGATTGACATCACTGAGTTGGCCTGGACCAGTCTGAGCAGCACAGCAGCCCTTTCGAAGAATGAGCCTCTGCCAAAAGCTGTGTCTGCCTAACCAAGTATCCCACCATCTGCAACAAATGTGCTCTATTAAAGCAGTACCATATGGACAACAAGCTAGCTATTAACACGGCTTCAGCACATCCCCTTAACCTAGCCCAGATTTCAAACTTCCAGTCAAATTGACTGCTGATTTAATGCACCGCCAGCAGCCATGTGGGTCTTGGCACGAGAAGGCACTCTCAGCCTTCAGTCATTAACAGGCTCACGTAGTGCGCAGCGCACAGCGAAACACAGAAGTTAGCTACCTACCCGTAACTACATCCCAGGTTACATTTTATATCCCTTAACAAAACCCATATGAGAAAAAGTAGCAATATCCAAAGAGGCTACAGAGAGCAAGAGCCTGCACTGATCCAGGAACTCAAACGTTCTTAAGAAGAGTAAAACAGGGCTCAAAACACTCTATTGTACCACTGGAAACAAGCTTATGAAGCAGATCTACCCTCAGAGTCGCAGCCAAACTGGTGGCTCAGTTCTTCCACAGTGATGCAGAGTGCATTTGCTCCCTCTGCATGGATCCAAAATGGCAGTGATTAACCCTGCAGGGTGTGAGGGGGTGGGGGGGCAATTTACTCCCTGTGGGCCGGGCGGCCATGTTGACGCCTCTCCCCTCTTCTGAGTCATGGGGGGACCCACCCACTGTTCACAAAGCCATGCTCTCTTCTCCTCAACCATGACACCACAACTATGATCCCTCTCACACAGACACACACACACACACCAAATCAATTGCAGTTATATGGGTTTTAACCCAACTCCAAAGTTCAGTCAATTTTGTTTGTTTTTCTTTTCTCCTCCTGTCTAAGCTGCTTAGAGACTATACATAGTGTGAGTGGAAACATATTTCTTACCTCAGAAGCCTAAATGTATACAGACCTGTGGCTTTAGAAGAGCTAAGTCTTGGCAATAGTACAACCACAGTTATATTTTCACTGTGTTAATTACTAATGCATTTACAGACCATCATACCAGGCCATTATTTTCAATGAAATTATTAATTTATTAATATACTGAAAATATATTATTATAATGATCTGGTAGGGATTCATCATAAAAACAACAAATCACATTTAGTTTTTAACTCTTCATTAAACATTAGATCTTTGTTCCACAAAGTCTCTTCCAGTTGTGTCCCCAGGCAAATGGAAGTGATAAGCTAAAAACTGTCTGATGACAGTCTAATTAAATATGCCTTTCAGGGCTCTCCGTGGAGCTATGCAATGTGTGAAAAGGTATTGGTGGTTCTAGAGGAGGGAGATCCAGAGAGGGCGGAAAAAAGCTGTCCAAGCAATCCCAACATCCCAGCAGACAGCTTTACGCCAACTCAACACCCAGTCACATGAAAAATGGTGATACCTGGTCCAGCACGTGTCCACACACACTGATATATTGGAATTTACACCTACAGTGTAGTACACTCACACACACACACACCTTATGTTACCTTTACTAATGGCAATAGTGTCCCATTGATCCCCTCCTCCCCAACCCCTTACGTACCTACACACAGGCATACATACACAAGTGCTTGTATGCGCACACACACACCTCAGTCAGAGCTGCCAGATGAGTAGTGAATTAATTTGTGTGAGCCACTCCAACATTAGGAAGGTGTGTTGAAAGGTGTCTGCTCATGTTTCAAATTAAACGCGCTGCTGGTCAGCATTAGCACCTCGCCACCCGTCGGCAACTGACACTTAGGGGGCCGGGGGGATGGGAGGAAGGAGGGGAGCCCATCCGCCCGTTCACACTGGAATAATTAGAACATGTCAGGAAGAATTAATTTCCTCATTTTTCAAAAGGATACACAGAAATTACCATGTTATTATATGACAGGGTCCCTGGGAGGATTGGATTAAATTTGATTTCTTGCGCAGCCCACACAACAAATTAAAGTCATAAATAAGATGGAAAGAAGCAGGGCACAGAGCATATGTTTATGGCAATGAGTGAAGCCAAGGGACCAGAAACAACTATCTTCATTTCATTTTATTTAAATCAGGCCGACAACGTGTGTCTGAATGACAGCAGTTGCTAATGGGTCGAGATTAGAGGCTTCTTGATATTAACACAGAGATCAAACAAATTTGACTAAAAAGCAATGGAACGTACCGTGTGTGTGCTACCAGATGAGCCCGATCGGCACAGAATGACCTGCTATTGCCTGATCTCTGTCTTACCTAACAAAACATTATGCACTTGGTTTTTACTCATACATATATTCAGCTTTTCTTTTTAGTTTCATACGTGCCACAAATAGTGACAGCCTGTTTGATAAATGTAGGTAACAGAGTTATTTCACCCTGTCTTTGCCAGTCAATCTCGAATGGCCTAATATTCTGAGCATCAAATTGACAGGACAAATGACACAATGCAAGAAACAAGGGCATTTCGTCTATATATAAAAATATAATATGTTTTGTCCGTATTAAGAATAGATTATCCTTTTTATTGTATTGAATGAAAATAACATTTGATCTCATTAAGGATAAAATACATCCAATTTAAAGAGCATACACCGCTAACCCACAAAAAGATATTTCTGAACACCATTTGTCTTCTTTGGGCTCAGATTAGATTTGTAAGCTTACAATTAAACAACGCCCAGCCTGGGAAGAGTTTTTCAACTCTTTTAAAATGGGCCGTCATTAGAGTGTAGCACTCCCCTGGGCACCACAAACTTTAAATAATTTGCGAATCAATTAACTGGCTACTCTCAACGCAACAGGGATTTCACACTCCAGGGTCGTGGTGCATTATCAGTTGCAGACGATTCATGGCGTTTTGGGAGAAAAGTTCATGGTTGAAATCATTAATTCATTTTACCGGACTTTTAGTTATGCATTACTTTCCACAGCTGGGGTAGCAAGAAGATTAATGGCGTGTTCTTCGGTCCTGGTTTCTGCCATATAGAGCTACTAGGTGAAACTCTGTCCTACAGTACAAGGGAACATACCTTTAAAAGCAGGACAGCAGCCAAAACCATATTAGGTTTTAACTATTTTGATAATAAAAATAAGGCCCCATCAAACTTTAAATAATTATAAACGTAAAGGTTAGCTCCCTTTCATGTGATTAAATACAAACCATACCTAATTAACATATGTAAAGAATCCAGACAACAAACCACCACATCGATTTGGCAACTCTTAAAGGATATTTTCATTTAAGCAATTCAAAATGTGGTCACTCATGAGTAATACAACATATTAATCAAATGGGTTTAGGAAGATGATTAAAGTTCAGGCGGGTTTTCCACATTATTGCCAGGTAATGGCATTTGCAACAATTAGATTTCAAATTTGCACTGGGATCCTCTGAAGTAATCGAGAGTGATGAAATTAAAATCTTTGTTAGGCGGTCTTTGTCAAGCGGTCTCTGTTCAGCAACATATTGACCATAATCACTGCAGGGTCAGTGGGCTGAAGAGGTCCATTTGATAAATAATGAATGACGGATAACCATTCAAAGGTTGTTCATTTTCATTTTATGGTGAAGTGATGTTTATTTAATTTCTGACATCGTGGCTACCCTGGTATCCTTCCCTTGAGTGGTGCTCAATACCATACCGATAGTGGGCTGAGAGCTGTGAGACCGCAAGGCTGTTGCTTATTAGATAAGTGGCACATGCTAACAAAGACTGTATGGCCTCTTCAGTTGGTCTAACATGTCCTCAGGTGTTTCTAAATTAGATTGCGAGCATATAATTAAATGTCTTTTATAAGCGCTCCAGACGCAAACTAAATTACTTCCTGCTTTGAGCTTAATGAAACCTGTATGTCAATGGATGTAGATCTCGGTTTGTATGAGGATCCAAATTATTGTGTCAGAAGAACAGGATGAAATGAATTCTGCTTTCTCCAGTATTTTCTTTTACAACAAATACTAACCTTATGACATTGACTTCATAATATAATAATTAAAGCTTTAGTATCATGTATTATCAAAACATCAGGGGAATTATTTTAGCTACCTGTGGAGCAGCGTTTTAAGCGGGACCGGCAGGGGGTAGTAGACGTACCTGTCCAACAGAAATAAATCATGTATATCGTGTAAGAGTTTTGTTTTCTTTATTTTCAAAAAAGGCATATAGCTCATCAAGTAGCTACTCCAGACGTTATATGTTTACTTGCTGCGTGAGTATGTTCGCTATCTTTTAGATAGCTAGTCCACAACGATGCAGACAATAATTAAACATTGAAAACTATAAACACGAAGCACTATAAAAGTGTACACAGTGGTTTTAATAAATATCTCTGTTTTATTAGATGCTTTATTTATGTTTTCTGACTGTCATAGTACGACCATAATGGTTTGATGCATTCAGAACGAACTGAAAGAAACTAACGTGCAGCAGAGAGCTCTCTGGTAGACAGGTGCATGTTCACGAGAGCGGAAGGCAGCGTGTTGTGTGAAATGGCATAATTAAACAATGGTAAATGGCCATGAACTTTGAATTCAGAGACATTTCCCAGATGTTATTGAAGAGCTCCTCAACCACATTAATATGACTCCCAAGACATCGCCTACTGACATTTGGAATAAAAGAATAATATCAATGAAGTTCCTCACCTTTATTTGCTTAATATCTAAGATACATTTTTATTAGAAAACCTGCTCAAGCAGAGGCTGTGCAAAGATTGTTTAAGTAATATTATTTTTATAGATGCACAGTTGACTGCGTAGTACTCTTTATTATTTTTTTTAGCAAAATGTGCATTTCATAGAAACACTATTGCTTTGAATTGTTTCACTCAAACCTCTTTTCAACCCACATATATTAATCAACCAACCATGCAGTGACTCAACAGTGCGTTTTTATACAGTACCTGTACATATGTAGTAGATATATTTGTAGTATTATGTTAAGGACATAAGAAACCCAAATACATGCTGAGTTTTATTGGAAATTATGTTTTAACCCATGATCCATGAAAGTTGTTTATGTGCAGTTGAACGGTCCTAGAAGCACTGTAGTTCAAGGTTAAAATGCTTTTCTCTCATGTTTTCTTTTTCTAGTGTAGGAAAAGGGATTTTTTTTTCTCCACCACATTTCTACCATTAAATACTAGAATGCCCGATTTGACCTTCAAATTGCAACTCCCACACAAGAAAGTGGATTATATCAAATAATAAAAAATAACATTCGAAAGAAGAAAAAAAAGTTATCCTGAGAAACCACAAAATAAATTGGAAGCAAAAAAAACGAGAAAAATAAGTATTAAGGATAAGGATCTAATGTTTAAAAGGTCTTCTGTCAGAAACTTTGTGCTGACATAAGTGTGTAATTGTGCATATATTGTGTGCCTATCCAATTGTCTACCTCATTTGATGCAGGTGTTCAGTGTGGGTGAATGACAGCGGGGGTGTAGGAGACATGCGGAAGCAAGACAGAAACAGCTGAAAAGGTAAATTGATACTTACAAGAACTGAAAGACTCAATCCCCAGCTTGCAGCGATCACTGGTCGGTTTATTTTGAATTCATGTAAAAACCTGAAATGTAAGCAAAAAGAAGACAACATTTAACTATTTTAAAGTGTGTCTGTGCATTCTACATTGGTATTAATAACTACTGTATAAATGTGTTCTATTTTATTAAAATACCACCAAAAATAGGACATGTAAACCTGATTTAATCTCATCCATTTTTTTGTAAAACTCAAGTATTTTTCAAACATAGTTCAAATCAACATTGGTCTTAGATAACTGTATTTACCTACATCAGAACAAATAGAGAGAGAACAAGAGGAAGTGAATTGAGGCCATAGTGACTGTTGGCTGAGGGTCAGAGTCTCCACAGCTAAGCTAATGTAAAACAGCTTTGATAGACCTGTCTCCAGTCCTCACAGCTGTCATGGGAATCCGTCCTACATAATGTTTCAAATCTACTTCTCTGCCACCTCATTAATCTGTCTTCCAGTTGGCGGATTTCTCTAATAAACAGCTTTCATATAAAGCCGTTGTTTTATTTAATTTTGCTTTCTTTCTTCAAGCACTGCATGCTAATGATTTATTACGGGGCCATGCTCTGCTAGTTTCCGCTTGTCTGTTTAAGTGCTTCAACTTCAGAGATTTTTCAAAGAACCAGCATATAAACAAAAAACTCAGTACAGTACACAAGCATACACTTTAAGGCACCATATACTTTCATCAGTAATGACAATAGAGAGATAACCCCTCACTGATCACACCCTCTAGTTCAAGGGATGAAAATGCTGTTATGCTCATTCATGTTCATTTTCTCACATTATCTTGTTTTTCACAATAAGCCAAGATCTCATTACCAGCTGATTTATACAATTAGTCGGCCTCAGCACTGCCAATTAAACAAGGCCAAGGGTTTTTTGAGGTCACGCTTAACTGATCTGTCACTAATTTGCGCTACAGCACCTCAGTCTACCATTTCCGGGGCCAACAAAGCACCATCAATAAGACCAGATAAATGTACCAACTACCTCTGCATTGTTGTCAGAGCACAGCGCGGTGTCAGCTACGTGGGAGTCTGGAGAGCTAACAGAAAGAGCCAGATAAAGGCAGGAGTTGCATGCGGGTCTGAATGTGGTAGCCTTGAGGCTGGAGGTGACAATGGGGGAGAGGGGACCCAGGTGACCCTGGCTGAATAGAAAGCTGTTTCATGAATAGCACCTCTGAGTTAAAAGTCTACTCCTGCCTCTCAAATGACACTAAACACACACTATTTAAGTGTTCTGTGCTCCTGCTGCATCCACCCACTCCTGTACTCACTAGCACACATATACACACACCATTAACTTGTATTAGAAGCTATTCAGTCTGCACAACAATCCCTGCCTGCTGGAGAAACCACATATTACATGGATGGTAATTCATTAAACCAGTCTTTGTCAAACATCTGACTATAGACTTAATTCCTGTTGTCCCTAAATAAATGAGTGCTCTTACAATTACAGAGGGTAGACATTAACAAATCTTTGAATTCATAATCTGATGTTAATTGGGAACAATGAGGTAAATAATAAATGGGGAAATGTATCCTTTATTCATTGGTTGTTTTAGTCAATTATCTGTATGAAGGAAAAAACAAAAGGAATTTATAATTGCAAATAATGAGAGTACCCACATTATATTATAATGAATGTAGTAATCCCTGTGGCGTAATAAGACTCAGTGTCAACCGGCCTATTGTAGCTGCATGAAGCAGCTTTTTTCCTGCTGTGAATTAAACCTACGGGGAGGAAACATAAAACAGGCAATCCCCATTCCTAATTAGAAGATCTGGGACTTATTAAACACAATTTCAGTCAACCCCAAAATCAAATTATTAGTTTCACCACATTTTTATAAACAAATAGAAACACACTTAAAATATCTATTTCCCATTATAATTATTTTGTTTGGCGTCGGAAACTGTGAGGTTAAGAGGAAAAATAAATGTTGCTCCATTAGGCCATGAGTGAGCAGTCACAACACTATTTCTCCGTTGAAAATACGAGAGGTTTAGCTCTCAGATACAAATATTCAAACAGACTGACATCAAAGGAGCAGAGACAGAGAGCTCACAGCCACCTGTGGCATTTCTGTCAAAGAGTGGCCTTTTCTCTAGCTGAGGCTGGTCATGGCTACCAAACACACACACACACACACACACACACACACACACACACACACACACACACACACACACACACCAAAGATATAGTTGCAAATCCACAATTCAAATGCTACGAAATATTTTATATGATTTGTCATGGAATACTTTCAGTACCTGCCAACCAGTACCTAAACTCAGTATAGATATAGAAACCATTTTGCCTGTGCTTTGTAAAATGTCAGTAAAACAAAACTGGGAGCACCATTTGGATAATATGTCACTGATCCCAGAATAGGACCCAGGTTATCTATAGTTTACACAAACACATACACACAACCATACACGTGTATACAATTAGTGTAGACATAACACTAATTTTAAATTCCACATTTGTGCAAAAGTACAGTTGGAAAAGAAGGGCTACCCATTCAATTAAATCTACCAGGAGGAATTTCCTCTATGTTTCCTCTAAACAAACTGCCTCGATATTCACTTGAGTTAAAGCCTCTTGTACAATATGTGACGAAAGCATTTTCACAATCTCAGCTCAATAAGATCACTTTCAATCTTCTGAAGCTTCAAATTCCAGACATATGTTCATGTACGGTACGGTGTGGGCTATGACTTCATTTTCCCTGAGAGTCGTGTTTTTCAACCATCATGTGACAGTGGCTCAGTATCAATAGGCAACATTGCTGCAACTGTATAGAGCACAGGGGAGACCAACCACTACAAAGATGTCCCGACTTCAACGTTTTATTTTTTATATAATTTAATTCTAAATTGAATTAAAACTACTAAATATGGGACATCATTAAATTGCATGTAGGTTTACATAGTACAGTTGTGGTGGATATTCATGAGGCAAGCCAAAAAAGTTGTACCTTAACTTGTTTAGAATTCATCCAGATCTGCAACATGTTAAAAATATATATATATTTATCCTCCAAATCCTCTATTCCAAATCCTCACTTTCCCCTGCGTCCAACACGCTAAAGTAGGAATTCTGCAGAGTTAGTTATTTTGACAATAGAGGTAATCTATGCCATCAGCAGGCTGCTCCCATACCTGGATGCTGTTTGGTTATCTCTGCAGAAGCAGCAGCCACACAGTCAGTCAGGCCGGGACTGCATGGGGGAGTTTGGGATGCAATGAGGTGAGGCTATAGCAGTGGTCCCAGGGGAAATAGGGAAATGGGAGGAAGAGGAGGGGGGCCGTGTGGAGGGTGAGGGGGTGAAGCGCAGAACATTCTGGTATAGTAATTGAACACATGTGATTGTCTGTTAAATATCCAGTTCTCTAAAGTCAATCCTCTCTGCAGTAGCATCATCTGTGAAATATGAAACGACAGCTTCCATGCACTGAGTAATCACCATAGCCGGGAATAGAGGACATTACTGGTCAGGAAACAGCTAGTGCTCAGGTAGACTGTGGACACTTCGGCACAGACTGTTTGTGGTGTCATTGTTAGCTCATGGATTTAACCATTTCCTACTGGTGAGATAAACTAGGGAAAGCCGTGAAGAAAAAATAAGAAGTCCAGTGTAGTGTTATTAGACAGGCTGTATTTCTTCAACAGATCCACCATATCATTGAGTTATTTGGTGTTGGAAACAGGTCAATCACGTGCAAACAGCTGTTTCATGCTCCAGCTCACCATTAACTGTCACAGCCTTAGAAAATCTCTCCTCTCTTTATCTTTACCCTCTGTCTTTCTCAAATGGCCTTTTTTTCTTTCTCTGGAACTACAGCAGACTAGACACTCACAAAATGTCTGGCACCAACGTGTCAGGAATGACTACCAGAGCGTCGCTCCAGTTAAAATATCTTTGTTGGGTGTAAAACAGTGACCGGTATTTTGGCAGACTCAAAGTGCAATAGTGTCAGATAAAGCAGAACAAAATCAGCAGCTCTTTAACACAGTTTGTGACAAGCAATAGCCTGATACGGATACAGTTCTCTGGCCGAACAAGGCTTTTGATGTGCTGCTTGGCCAATACATTATCATCATTTCCTCTGCGTCAAATAACAAGAATAAAAGTCTATTTGCTGGGCAGCTGGGTTGAGGCAGGGTGGAGGGAGAGAAACGACCAGCAAATAGAATGTTTTCCTCCACTCGGTCCCCAGTGCTCCTAACAGGCGGGCATGCAACCTATCAATTCTCTTTGATTCCCTCTCACATATTCTTCACTCCAAAGACAGAGAACCCATTATAGGCTTGTCTTTCTGTACACTGATGAGACCTCTTTTCTTAACTTCCGAGATATACACACATATTTTCTTTTCTTTTGCAGTCTCTTACTGAGTGTGAGGTTTGTGTATGTTGGGGGAAGGGGTATGAAAACAAGTCTATCCCTCTCTCCCAGGTAATGTGTTTATTTTCCCGGACCCATCTTCTAGTTTACTGCGTGGTGGCGTTTCTCCCCTCTTATCGCCTGGCCCTCACGGGGCACTTTAGCCCCTCAAATCCTGTTCACCACATACTGGTTTTAGAATCTGTGAAATGAGTGCTAGAGAAGCGTGGCCACAATGTCTGCCTGTGTTGCTACTGGACTCAAATGGGCTTGGTGTTTTTTTGTCCAGGGAGATGCATAAATGGAAGTTTTTAACACCTCAAAGGAGGCTGGGCCTTTGTGGTGCCACACTAGAGAAGCCTGCCAGTCTCCCGAGGAGGCAGACACACTGAGTGCTGCAGGACAAAGAGCTAGAGGAGCAGAATCAGCAGGGGCATCACTCTGCTCTGGGCACAAGGCACACACACACACATGTACACCCACATATACTGTATGACTGCACTTACATACAGAGTGCACATACAGACACATGCACTCACACACAAATATTACAAAGGTTGGAAAATAATTATCTCAAATAACTCAAATAATAATAATAATAATAATCACATTTCCAACAGGCATATGTC